GTCGAAGACGAGACCCGCCGGGCTCGTCAACGCGAAGATGAACTGAACAGACTTGATCAAGAAGCGTACAACTCCTCTATCCCTAAGGGTCGTGTTCCCCTGGCCAAGCAGGAGCTTGGCGGCTATGGCGGCGACTCCATGGCCGATCGCTACAAGCCAAGCCGTCCCGCACCGCAAGCCCCTGGCTCGACTCGTCAAGATCCTTCTCGTCAATTGACTGCTCAGCGCCCAGCACCCGCTCCTCCCACTATTTCCAGCAATGGCAGCGCAAAGAATTCTCCCAACGCTCGTTACGCTCCAAATGATCCACGTTCTCAGGCCGCTCGCGCCCAAAGCAATGGCACCAAAGCGGCCCAGGGGCCCCCTCCATCCAAGCTTCCCGCGCCTGTGCAAGCTGTGAAACCACTGAATATTGCGAACAAGCAGACGACACAAAAAGGCAATGTTCCGGACAGTGTTCGTCAGGCCGAAGCTGCACTGACCAAGAAGGCTGAACCACGCCACAAGGAGGTCCGCATGTCGGCAATGTCTGAAAATGAAGTCATGGATCGACTGAGGTCCGTGGTCTCCAAGGATAATCCGAACGAGTCATACAGCAAGCAACGAAAAATTGGACAAGGAGCGTCAGGTTCGGTGTATGTCGCGCGTGTTAAGGAGCACGCTGTCTCCCCTGTCGCACGGGAGCTCTACCGGCAATATGGCCCACGGTGTCAGGTTGCTATCAAGCAGATGGACCTGCGCAGCCAGCCCCGCAAAGAGCTCATTGTCAATGAGATTATCGTTATGAAGGACAGCCAGCATGCGAACATCGTCAACTTCCTTGATTCGTTCTTGCAGGAACAGAGTAACGAGCTGTGGGTTGTGATGGAGTTCATGGAGGGAGGCGCCCTCACGGATGTCATCGATAACAACCCTGTTATTCAGGAAGATCAAATTGCGACAATCTGCGCGGAGGTATGTTCGTGAATTACAGTGCACAAAGATATGCACCGGGTTGCTGCGATGCTGACTGTTACCCAGACTTGCAAGGGTCTGGCCCACCTTCATGGACAGAACATCATCCATCGTGATATCAAGAGTGATAACGTTCTTCTGGATCGCGCTGGTCATGTCAAGATTAGTAAGTCTGCTTCTCGGAACACTGGATCTTGACTAGACTAACTGACTTGACTCTTCAAGCTGATTTCGGTTTCTGCGCCAAACTTACCGAATCCAAGAACAAGCGTGCAACAATGGTCGGTACTCCTTACTGGATGGCACCGGAGGTCGTCAAGCAAAAGGAGTACGGGCCCAAAGTTGACTGTTGGTCATTGGGAATCATGGCCATTGAGATGATTGAGTCCGAGCCCCCTTATCTGAACGAGGAACCACTGAAGGCGTTGTACCTGATCGCCACGAACGGAACGCCTCGCTTGAAGAAGCCCGAAAAGCTGAGTAGGGAGCTCAAATCCTTCCTCAGTGTCTGCCTCTGTGTCGATGTCAACAGCCGTGCTACCGCCGACGAACTCTTGGACCATGACTTCCTCAAGACAGGCTGCAGTCTGGCAAGCCTAGCCGAACTTCTTCGTTGGAAGAAGAACAGCGGACAGTGATTTGTTCTTCGCGCAATCCATTGTGTCAGCTTGACTCGCGCTGGCACGTGTAGAGCATTCGCGCTTCTCGTTTTCGCTTTACAATTTACCCGTTAGATCTTGTCTTGCGCACATATGGGTCGCATTTACACGCTCCAGCTTGATTCTGATACTCCATTACGACCTGCATTGCTCATCAGAGTACACGTGTGATATCCGAGCTGCAGAGCTTCATTTTCTCCATTGCAGGCCTGGCGTATTACTGGCGTTCTCATTTGGTATTCGTTTTCAAAGCCATCCGTCCTCCTTTCTACTCCGTTGGGTCGCATGTCGTCTCGTTGATTTCGCTGTATTGGCTTAGTTTGAGTAAGTTTACTGTTGACCATGCCGCCAGCCTCTTGTACGACGCAGCGCGAATGTTGGTCTCTTCCAATGTTGACGAAAGGAAAACAGCGTAGGGAAACGTTCTTTCGTCCGCCAGCTGATGGATCAGTGGTGTGAGAGAAGAGAAAGCGAAAAATAATGAGGAAAGCGAAAAATGAGTTGGGAACAGGACACATTGGTTGTTTGAGACGCTGGCTACGGATGCTCTTTGTTGCGCATGTGTATTTCACTACATGCATGTTTCTATGCTTCTGATCCATGAGTGATGATGAAAATTTCTGTTAATATCAAGCGAGTTTTCTCAGGGAGTAAGAAGTCCATAGATGGATATAGTATGCATTTCAAAATAACGAGTGTCGCATCCAACCACGACACATGTGGGAGAATTTCCAGGCTGAAGGCAGGACTGAAATTGGTTCTGCTCGATTTCTACAGCAATTTTTGTGCGTTAGGATTCAACCATCCAAATGGTCTATAGTATTAGTAGTCATGTGTCAAAACTCGAACGATTCATAATATACGTGATATCACAGCTCATGATCTTGCGCCATGCCAGATATGATCATCAATCCCGTGATCTTCATCCACACTTTAAGACTGAAGCTTAGCTTGCACCTGATTTCCCAGAAAGGCAGAACATTCGCCGAACAATACACCTTGGAGGATCGTCTCCCCTTCTTCGAGAGCCCAGTATCCAGCATCGATCAAGCGTTGCTTCCAGGCAGAACGCTCGTCCTCGTTGAGGTCATCCCAGGATCGGGATGGCTGCTCTTCTACCTCTTCAGGAGATGAAGAGGACGAGCGGGAGGAGTGAGCATCGGAGCTCTCGATGTAGATGTTGTTGGACTCAGGAAGACATCGGACCAAGACGGAGTTAGCTGGGGTTGTTGCGTCAGCGTCCGGGGCTGCATCGGCATCGTTACCGCCGACGGCGTGACGGGCATGAAGGATATCTCGGAGAGTCTGCTTCGGGGAATCGGTGAGGGCAGAGAGCGCGGATGCGGTTGGGAGTGGGTGAGGTGGGAGGGGATGGTACGGGCGCGCAATGGCCGCGCGGATATCCGGGGGAAGCCACTCGGAGGCCCCGAGGTACGGGGGCATGAGGCCTCTGATCTCCGTGAAGGCCTGGAGGAGGACGCAGACGGTGATAATGGAGAGCAGGGCCGCAAAGCCGCTGGCGAAGTTGGTCCAAACCTCCGACTCGCCGGGCATGACCAGGACGTACCGCGGGGTGCGGCTGGAGGGCGGTGATGGGGCGAGCGGGAAGGTGTGCACGACGACCGTATTGCCCATACTGATCGAGGCCAGCTTGACATATTGAGGAGGGGTCTCTGGCGTTACGGGGTGCGTTGGGGGGATGAAGTTCGAGAAACAGATCTTGGTCATCGAGAACGGGTGGACGTCTCGTAGGGTTGTATACGGCCGGAGTTTGCCATGGCCCTTTCTTGGACTGAACTCAACTGTCAAGACTTCGATAGACTGGTCGCTACCAGACACCGCAATAATGGTCTGCTGCTGGCCGTCTGGGTTCGTTCCTAAACCGCAAGTGTCCAGACCTAGCCCGATCTTGATTGATTTGCGCAGTTTCTTGCGCCTTACAATGAACCCGGAAGGCTTATCTTTCGAAGAAGGGCGCAAATTTAGAATCAAAAGCTCGCAACCGTTTCGGTTTGGTGCATTCTGAAGGAGCAACAATGTTGTGGAGGAGAGGAAGCGCAGTGCTCGAAATTTAGGCCTTGTCCTCGGTCCCTTTTCGGGCAGGGGTGTGCTGTACACGCACTGCACGTCTGGAGAGGTGTTTGACCTTGTCTGTGATGATATTTCACAAATAAAAACGTCATTCCCGTTGGTGTAGGCCACTTTGTACTTCCCATCGTCCTCCAGATCGATAATGTCCACATCCTCAGCTTCCTCCTCGCCGTTCAGGCGAATCCTCCCAATGACATCAGCCTCGGTCGGCGTGGGAGTGACTTTGAAAAATACAATTTCCCCCGAAGGAGCCAGCCCGGTCGCAATGGCAGCTACTCGGGGAGCGTCTGCATCTTTCCATGGGGATAGTCGCAATATCCTCTGATAGGTATCGGCGCCGGCCTTGGATTCCTTGGACTCCTTTGTCCGAAACAATGACACGCGCGCTAGTGCTGTAGTCTTTCCTGGAGTGGGATTCTCTTTGAGTGTCTCTGCTTCTTCTCCGGACGTGCTCGCCGATCTTCTTTTTCGCGGGGGATAGTCGATCTGGAATGATCTCAGATGTTGATTGTTGTTTCTCTTCTGCTCGGCCACGGAGCTGTTGATACCGGCCAGAGCAATGACCGACTCATCGCTCGCATTTGCAGCGGCTAGTGAAGTAACCGAGTCCTCGTCGCGCGAGAGTTCGATATCGACTACCTCCGAGATTTCGCTGCGTTTTGAAGTGTCCAAGAGCGCCTGTTCCACACCGGCTCTCAAAGTTAGCGCAATGCTTCGGGGTTCAAGAATCAACATCACGATCTGTGAGGCTCGCATGACTCTAGCAGTGAAGTATAGAGAGAACTTGCAATTTTATTTCCAACACCGCTACGTCCTTCACCTCCACCGCCTCCAACGAGCAAAAAGCCATGGTTGCGCGGATCGAAACCGGCCGCGAAGAGGGGACAAGACAGAGTCAGCTTGGCCGAGGGAATAGTTGGTGCCATAGTGAAAGGACGGAGTGGCCGTCCGGCTATGTAACTAAAAAAGACACCAACTACAGCTGTGAAGAAGTAAAATAACCATGAGGTGAATTGAAGGGAGAGAGAGCCGTCTGCGTAAGTTGGCCAGCCGGAGTGCCGCAATGACGCGGGCGTTGGCTCACTGTCCGCCCCGGATTCTTGGCAAAATATCAGGGGACTACGAGGACGACTGTACGAGTATCTACCCTGGGCTGGGTATTTGAATTGTACTACGACCCTCGTCGAGTGTCTTGGATATTGCGCAAATAGTAACCATTGCAGCTGAGATGTTGGTATTTATTCATCATGTTATCTTCTTGAATTCCCCTTTACATGGACCACGTCTCCATGGGGTCTAATCAACCTCCTGTCCAGTAAATTCAGGAAGTTCCTTGCGAATATCTTCCCATGTCTTCTCACCATCCACCAGGGACCTGATCGCCTGCAGAATCTCATCCTCACTGGCACGCACCTGCTTGGTTGTGTCACGGTCACGCAAAGTGAAGGTGTTGTCCTTCACCGACTGGAAGTCAACCGTGATCCCGAAAGGTGTGCCCAGTTCGTCATTACGCGCGTAGCGCTTGCCGATACTGGCGGAGGAGTCATCGACGCGATTGGAGATACCCATGCGCCGCAACTTGGTCATCAGCTGCTGCAGAAGGGGACGGAAGGATGCGTGTGTCGAGAGAGGAACAATCAGAACCTTGGTGGGAGCGATCACAGGGGGGAAGGAGAGAACCTAGATGCAAGATTAGCATAGTGTCAAACGCACTTCCAGAGTGTAGGGATACGTACACCACGGGCTTCATCTTCTTCACGGGCCCAGTAAACATGCTCAATCATGCTATACAGGATTCTACCAATGCCAAACGAAGGCTCAATGACATTGGGTGTGTACTCGCGAACGTTCTCCACGCGCGTGCGTTTCTCGATCTTGACAATGTCCTGGTCGAGCTCCACCTTACCAGAGCCAACACCGTCCACATCCACCTCGATCTTGCCATTCTTCTCCAGATCGATGGCCAACTTCTCACGGAGCTCCTGAGAGAGTGACTCGACGGCAGCCGCGACGGCCTTGCCGTCCTTCTTGAAACGAGGTCCGAACTTCTTCTTGTCCAAATCAACCTGCCACTCCTCGACCTTCAAAGGCTCGGCCCGGGGCTCGCGGACAACAAGAGGTGCACCGGTCTTGTTCTTGTGCACTGTCAAGTCGTAGGCACTCCGATCAGCGCAGCCAACACATTCAATCCATCCGTAGCTGGTCAGCAGTTCCGCATCCCAGCAATCAGCGGCGTAGTGAGCCATCTCGTTAGCCATGTGCTGACGGAAGCGGAGCTTGTTCGGGTCCACGCCGAGCTTGAGAAGGAACAGCTGGATACGGGCAATAAAGTATCCAAGTGTCTCATTGTCGACCATACCGGTCTCAACCGCCTTACCGATGGTCATCTTCTCAGTCTTCGTGCTTCCAGAGAGCTGAACGTTACGGTTGAGGAAAGACATTTCAATATCCTTAACTTCCTCGAAGCGGTGATGCTTCTTGCCACCCTCGGGGTCCACGTAATGTTCAATCTCGGCCATGAGGAACTCACGCACGCGCAACAGACCCGCGCGAGGCGAAATCTCGTTACGGAAAGACTTGCCGATGGAGGCCGATGCGAAAGGCATGGATTGTTGATTGAACTCCAGCAGCTTCTGGAAGTTCAGGAACTGACCCTGAGCGGTTTCAGGCCGCAGGTAACCCGGCATGTTGCTGCTAGGGCCAATTGAGGTCTGGAACATGAGGTTGAAAGCGACGGGAGGAAGGAGGTTGCCATCGGTCGTCGGGTTTCTGATGTCGTATTTGGCGATGATCTCTTCCAATTGAGGACCGTCGAAGTTATCAATCTGCGCCAAAATCTCCTCGTATTCCTTGACGAGGGCATCATCAAGCTTGACGGCCTTTGCGTCCTTTGCCTTCTTCTTCTTCTTTGCTTCCTTTTCCTCGTCCACGACCACCTTTTGACCACGCGCCTCTTTGTCGCCCTTCAAGCGAGCCTCGAAAACTTCCTCTACCAAGTGATCCGCGCGGAAGATTTCGCCAGTCTTGGGGTCCTTGCACATCCAATCGGCGAACTTGTCGACGTGTCCGCTGGTCTTCAGAATCTCATGCGGGGTGAGCATGGTGCAGTCCACTTCCAGCATGTCTTCCTCCAGCACGAAATGCTTGCGCCACAAGTCAACAATGTTGTTCAGCAGGGCGGTACCGGGGGGGCCGTAGTCGTAAAGACCGGAAACACCTCCGTAGATCTCGAAAGAAGGGGTGTAGAAAAGCCGGCGCCGGAGCATTGAGTCCAAGACCGCGCGGTCAACGACCTTGCCGGTCTTTGTGTTTACGGTCGCCATCGTGAGCTGATTCTTCTTGGAAGCCTGGACAGCTTTGAGCGCGGCGGTGGTGTGGAAAAAGCTTCTGGCGGGGCTACAGAGAGGAATTTGGCGGGGAAGAAAGAGTCGAAGAAATGGCAATTGAGTCATCCACCACGTGAGGCGACCCCCAGAACCAACGAACCTGAGGAACGGACAGTAATGAAAGACAAGGGGAAAGGGTAAACAGAGATAAAACGAATGTAAGTCAGTAGAATCGAAAATCTCCTTTTTCCCTTGATTTTCTTCTTATTTTACTTTGTTTCCAAGGGTCGAATCACGTTGCCGCAATAGGCAATTCTGGGCTATCTGGTCGAAACTCCGCCGGCGAAACATTTGTCCGTCAAAATTATTCTGATTATTTGCTTCTCTTCCGCATCGGAACTGGTATTGCAACATCTACGAGGTTGGGCTTTTCTCATTTCGGGGTCAATATGGGTTCCAAAAAGTCGCAATCGAAGCCTCCCCCGAGCGCTGCTCTGGATTACAAGCCCGTGAACAAATTAAGGCGTCAAATGCTTCATGTCAACCGCAAGCGGGCCAAGGACGCAGAGCGACGAGCAGAACGATTTGGAAGGAAAAAGGAAGAAGCCAAAAACCCGAAATTGAAAGAGGAGCGTCTCAAACGGAATATTCCGCTGACTCTGGATCGGAAACGTGTCTGGGATGAGGCCGGTAGTGACGTCGAAGATGCGCTCGGCATCAGTGTTGATGTCGAGCGCATCAAACGACAGAAGAAAGAGGAGGAGGACGAACTTAACCGACCATTGGAAGATAGCGAGTCGGTGTCGGACGAATCCGGAGATGATGTCGACAGTATGCTAGCCACCAGCGACGAGGAGGAGGACGGCGACGACGACGACGAAGAAGTCGGAGATGGGATGGCTAAGAAGGATGATAATCGGGGCCGCAAAAAGTCCTCCCTTCCGTCCGCTACAGAACGAGCAACCAGTCCGAGCCAGTCGACTCGGAGTACGAATCTCAACCTAGCACCGGAGGCTCTCGCGGCTAAATTCCCGACATTGTTCACTTCAGAGCCTCCTCCGACACCCAAGATCCTCATCACCACCTCGCTCAACTCTACCCTCCATGACGAGGCCAAATCCCTTACCAATCTGTTTCCTAACAGCGTTTATATCCGTCGTACAGCCCATCGCTACTCCCACAAGTTCTCCATCCGCGAAATTGCTTCCTTCGCATCGAATCGGAACTATACCGCCGTTGTGGTTCTCCAGGAGGATCAGAAACGACCCTCCGGTCTGACGATTGTCCACCTACCTCAGGGACCCACTTTCCATTTCACTATCAGCAGATGGATAGCAGGCAAAAAGCTTCCGGGACATGGAAATGCCACCGAGCACTGGCCGGAACTGATCCTCAACAACTTCCGTACTCCTCTAGGTCTACTTACAGCCCATCTCTTTCGGAGTATGTTCCCACCACAACCGGACCTGGAAGGACGTCAAGTCGTCACAATTCACAACCAAAGAGACTACCTATTTCTCCGGCGTCATCGTTATGTGTTCCGCGAGAAGCGCGAGACCGAGAAGAGTGTCGTTGGCACAGACGGCAAGGAAATTAAGGGCGTGGAAGGCATTCGCGCCGGTCTTCAAGAGCTTGGCCCCGCAATCAACTTCAAGCTGCGGCGAGTTGACAAGGGAATTCAACGTGCTAGCGGACAGGAGTGGGAGTGGAAGGGAGGCATGGAGAAACAGCGTACCAAGTTCCAGCTGTAGCATGCTCTCATTTGGTTTTATACCTTTGTTATGTGTCTGGTTGCATTATTGGGTTTGCATGGAGTTCAGCTCTCAAAAATGGGTTCGGAAGGCTTTTTTCATGTGCGCGTATAGTTTCTTCTTGATTGTCCAGATGCCTGTACCTTCTCTGTAGATAATGTACTGGCGAAACACTATTCTGTCAAAGCGGCTTTTCGGCCAAAGGTAGCATCTCACCTTCTCTCGAATGCACGTATACGCCACTAATCTGTAGATAAAACGCTCAGATACACTACAATCAGTAGACTAATCCGCATGTGGGAAATCGAGAGCTATTTGAGTCGGCCACCCTAGGTCGACCGAGTCAAACAGTCGCCTGAACATCTTTCCTTGACGGAGAATAGGATCCATTGATCTTCTCTATGACTATCGACATCATTCATGAATTCAAAATCTTTCCACGGGTCTACAGAACATGTACCTCTCTATTGTGAAGGTCCCCACAGGCATAATGGCGATCTCCCGCTCCACAGGAAAATCTTCTTTCATGTCCAATAACCAGTAAAGAACTTACGCATTTGAGCTCCTGGTTCCCTCATTGAGCTACCTGATTTGGTCCTAGGTACATATTTACAGAAATCATCCTTCAATTATTGCTCCGCTGATCTTCTGGAAGAAAGCCTACCCAACTTAGCATAACCTGCAAAATCAAATATTCTGAAGCCTTCACGAATACCAATGGCCACACCACCAACCATTATCGCATGAAACCGTCTCACCTGCATTGCAATGGCAGCCGAAGGCCCAGTCCTCAAAACCCCCCGCCGGTTCCTGTTCATCGCCTCACTAGGCAATATGCGTCCGTACCGTCAAACGCGGCACAGCGCCGGGCATATCCTCCTCGATGCACTTGTCCCCCTCCTCCCCACGCGAGTCCCTCTGGTATCCTCCAGACAGCCATCAGCCGGTCCCATCTTCTACAAAACATGGTACAGCCCGTCGTACATGAATGAATCCGGGCCAAAGTTGGTCCGACAGCTCAGCAGCTGGTTATCCACAACACAATCCGAGCTATTAGGGCCAGTAGTCCGCCAAGGGGACGTCGCTTTGCCCGCGAACTTCGGCGATGCATCTGCAGCGAATGTCGAATGGCAGCTTCGGGGCGTTGATCCCCGCTCGCTGAAGAGTTTCCGACCGACGCTGGTAATCTTGCATGATGAACTCGAAGCGCCGTTGGGCAAGGTGAGGGTGAAAAGGGGCGGGCCTGAGAAAGCAAGTCTGCGCGGTCATCGTGGTCTGATCAGTGTCATGGAGAGTCTGCGCGGCAAGGGCCTGTATCCACCGCGGACAGGACAGGCGGCGCAAGGAGCAAATGCTGGTCTGTCCATTCTGCGTGTAGGCGTAGGCATTGGCCGTCCTTCGACGCGAACCCGGAACGATGTTGCGGACTATGTCCTGACTGAAATGAACGCCTCCGAACTGGCTGCAGTCCGTGCAGCTGCGGTCCCAGTCTTGGACATTCTGGCAGATGAGCTCTATCGAGAATCTAACGATGACTGATGTTTTCATCGACTCAGAAATATCCATGGCGGAGTTCCCCCCTCTGTGCAGTACGATACTACGATTCCTAGACAGATACCCATCTTGTGAGCACCTTTCCCGCTCGCGCATCGCATTCGATTCCAGGGTGTTCCCATTGTGGAAAGCCTTGACTAACAAATTCACAATTCTGAAAATGGAGGCAATCAACCGGAGCGAACACAGAATACCATCGCACGGGATTGACTGGTAAATATAGTGTATACTAATTTTGCATAGCCCAGCAGGTGGGATAGAAGAGTAAGAATATCCATGAAAATAAAGACGCAGGTGCGAACCAGGCCTGCAAAGCGCAAAAATGGCAACGAGTATGAAGAGGAAAGACAAAAACGGACCGCTGATATAACGTATCATACGGTTCCCGCTATACTCAGGTCCCGGATCTCTTGCAGAACTTCTTCTACCCTGTTATCCAAGTCGCCGCGGGCGTATTGGTCTCTTGTCTCGGCGTCGAGATATTGCTGTACCTGAGCCATGCGCGAATACGCTTCGGCGCAAAAACGTAGTTGAATCTTGACCAAGGCTTCGAAACTGGGGTCCAAGTACGGCACACGTAGATCGATGAGCTGTGGGAGTTCCGTGAACAGCTGTTCATTAAGCTGCTCGTATGCCTGCTTGGCCATCTCGGTCTCCTTCTCCGCGCGGGGCAGCTTGGTGGCATCCTTGTCTGGCTTCTCGACCAACTTCTTCACTTTCGCTCTCATAGCGTCGTAGTCCAGTAATTTGTGGTTCCGCTTCTTAATGCACTCGTTGATATCGGGGAAGTACGCACAGAAGCGCGAAATGGGGTCCAGTACGGTTGTTCTGACAAGCGGATTAATTATCGTCAGTGTTTGCCTGCAGTAAGTATAATCATCCACTCGTACCTGTACGGCCCGTCCAATGCTTTGATCGTCTCGGCATCCAAATCCTCCACAGCTTGCTTATAGCTTCTGCTCACACCGTCCCGAGTACCTGCCTCGCCGTAAAATGCATCAATCGTCTCCGCAATGCGCATTTGAGAAGCCGTCATTGCTAGTGAGCGTGTCTTGGTCAGCACAATGCAACGCCATATAAACGGTAGTGTTTCGAATAATTGACCCACCTCGTAACGAATCCAGATATCCCTTCGCTTCCTTCTGCAGTCGATTTGCCGCAGCCTCCATGGTCCGATATCGTCTGGAAAACAAAATGTCGATCAGTAGCTGATTTCAAATATGCCTATCCAACCCAGCTCATACCGCTCCTCGATTTCATAGTCCCGGTCATTCGTTCTCTCGACATGTCCTGTAAGGATTGAAGGTCGTATGTTAGTCCATGTGATTTACCACAACGCTTTGTTCTCTGCGGAAGCTTTGCAGCCTGTCTCGCACAGTTGCGGGGAACCATACCTGTTTTCATCATCACCTGCGTTGTCGCACGGTTGACATTTTTCTTGAACCCTACACAGCAACGCCCTCATGTCAGTGTGTGTTGAGTAAATAACCACTCGAAGAGAAATGGAATCGCGAACCTGCCCAAGACATGATTGCGGTGTAGGCAGAAGCGATGAGCAGGAAGTGGGCGAGAGTAGAGAATTGAGTAAGGAGTAAGGAATAGAGGAGAGAAATAGGATTCGTAAAGAGTGTTTGTTGAAGTAAGAGGTTTGAGTGCCAATATTACGATTGCACAGTGTTTACAGCGATGGTT